CAGACCACAGAAGAGTGGTGGACTTCCCAACCCATTGAGGAAGTAAAACTGAGTGATTTTGTGCGGAAGACTGGCTTGTGGAGTGAGAAGCTCCTTCTTGGGCACTTACTTGGGGAAGCTGGGCTTGTTGACGCATGCGGCTCAAGCTGAATGCCTTTCGGTTGCGTTTTGCTGGGATGAGGTGACTCTGGGCACTTAATTCAGGGAGTTGGGTTTGCTGACCCATGAAGCATTAGCTGAAAACCTGCTTCCAGCAGAGTGGCATGCCCCTTTGGGAATTTATTAGCAGATGTGAAAGAACTTTGTAACATGTCCTGAGAAACATCTATCCTGAGTACTTCTCACTGGCATTGCACTCTGACTTCCTTAATAAACCCTTTAATTATGAATTTGTCTGAGGGTTCTGTGTAGTCATTGTAATATATATTAAATCTTAGAGCGCTAAAATAGAGGCCATTGATTGAGACAACATAGCACCCAATTTATCACTAACCTTGAAAATATTGATGGTAATTTACTGTGTGCCTGCAGTATACTCTATGAGATGCTGGGGACAGAACTCCCTCACTCACTGCCATTGATTCTGACTCTTAGCGATCCTATAGGGTAGGGTAGAAATGCCCTTGTGGGTTTCTAAGACGGTAACTCTTCATGGGAGTCGAAGGCCTTGTCTTTCTCCTGAGGAGTGGCTGATGGTTTCAAACTGCTGACTTGCAGGTAGCAGTCCAATGTGTAACCACCATGCTACCAGAGCTCGCTGGGGCCATAACATCGAACAAGAAAGACCAAGTTTGCATCCCCAAGGAACTTATTTCTACTAGGGTTCTCGAGAGGCAGACAACAGACACATAAATATGAGTTATTTTTATGTAAGGATAAAGAAACTTCTTAGCAACCTGGACAGTTTTACAGATCGATAAAAATAATAGAGAACATAAAACTAGGCAACGCGAGGGGGTGGAGGGTATCACTGGAAGGTGTGGTCACCTGCTTAGAAGTTATGCGTGAATTGCCCACAGGTCCCTGTAATCTGTTTTAAATGGAGCTGTCTTCTTTCTCACCCAAATCTCCTTTGCTCCTTTCATCAGTCAACTACATCACACGCTTCCGACAAGAGAGCCAACAGAACCTCTTGTTCCTGAACTGCTCCGTTACCTCTCAAGTCCTCTTGGGGCCATCGTGGAAGTGTATCTTGGATCCACCTCCTCCTATCATTCCTAGGACCCATAACTTTGCTAATTTCATCACTTTTCACTTGAATTCTTGAGTCTTGTTTATGTTTTAATGCTTTTTTTGGGGTGTGGTATGGGGTGGAAGTTTACAGAGCAAAGTAGCTTTCCATTCAATAATTTAGGCATATTTTGTTTTGTGACAATCATTACAATCCTTGCAGTATTCTTGTGACTCATTGTCTGTACCCGGAGAGTCTTCTCATTATCAAGGAAGTCAGAGTGGTCTTTCCAAACACACATAGGGTTGACCATTGCCCTCTCTAGAACCAGTGCCAATCTGTTCAATGACACTCACAGAAGTTCACATCCTGGTCCTGGCCGGCTTCACCTGCCTCAGTCTTTCCCAGCCCACAGCAGTGTTCGTAACCATTTCCCTGAATACACACTAATTAGTCTTACCTCTGTCTTCCAGTTCTCCCAGTTTCCTAAGCCTAGACAATATTTTCCTTTTCTGTTGAACATTAAGCTGCTGAAATAGACCTCAAATTTTAAGGACCACGTGACAGTCCTTCCTAAGAAGCCTTCTGTGAGCTCGGTTGGAGCCGGCGGCTCTCTCCCCAGCTCTTCACGCGGGTTGCAGACGCTTTGCTCTTGGGGGTTCTCAGGATCATGCTTTGCACGCTAGCCATTTCAGGAGACTACTATCTCCCTGTGTGGATATGTCTTTTGTGAAGAAAAAAAGTATCTTATTTATTTTGATACTTTCGCAGTGCCTGCGTTTTCTGCTTAACTGCCTGAGGCTGGTTGACAGAGTGGCCTGATTTTTTTTCCCCCCTAAACACCAAAGCTTATCTTTTGATCTCAACTGCCATAATTTTGTTACTCAATAAAGGTTATATATTCTCTTATATAAGCCAACACTTTAAATGTCATAGACGCTTGTAGGAATATGGAAACAATGTGATTTTAAAAGGCTGGATTCAACTCAGTGATCCCCAAATAGTGTATTATTTGTCTCTTCTCTGAAAACACATGCCGTGGACCCAGGTAGCAGTTACTCACGTAGAGGCTGTTCAGAGCAGAACGCTGCCTGATCTCTTCTATCAACTTCTCTTTTTCCTGGAACAAGCCCCAAAGTCCAAACAACCGAGTTACCTTTGATTTCAGGGTAGTAGAGAAAAGGTTTGGGTTCACTCGTTTCCAAATCAGATTTCCTTCGAAGTTGGACGAACACAGAGGCAGGTTTTGTAATGTTGATGTCTTTATACTTTGGAGTTTTGAAGACAATGGCAAACTGCAGGGTGAGAAGATCTAAAGGTTGGTGAAGTGCTACATGTCCACATTAGATAATTTTTGCAGCTATGCTACTCATAAAATACTTTCCTTATATTTCTCTTTATCCCCAACATTTAGACATAGTGGACAAAAACACAGCACCCAAGAGCAAGCCCCAAACTCAGAATTGTATACCCATAAGCTTTTACTGTAAAACTGAAACACAAGATGATGTCAATGTATTTCAAATCTTCATTATTTAATTTGTCTAATATTTCAAATAGCTGTAGTTCTTATACTTATTTTTCCTCTTCCAAATCAACCTTGAAAATCTTCAAGGCATTAGGTACAGTAAGTATTAGGGAGCATGATTGTTGGATGAGATAGTTTATTGTATCAGCCTGGCCGATAAACGCAACTGGGATTAACTGAAGGGGGGAGAGGTAAATGGCTCGGTGAGCCTCGCCTTTCTTGTCTCTCGCTCTTTGATCATCGGACCAGTGTGCGGCTGCCTTGCTTGTTCTGTGCCTCAATTTAAAGGCTACACCACCTGTTGGACGCCTAGCCTGTGGACTGTGTCACTGTAAGTTGAGGTCCCTTTAAGACATCTCTGGAGCTAGGAACTGGCAGTTGGGACTGGTGGTTAGTTGACAGTTGGTGATCTGCCTTGCGGTTGGCTGCTGTGCTGAGATAGCCTAGCTCTCTCTATAAATAGAGGGAGATCTGGCAGCAGACTAGACTTGAAGGACTGCTAGTCTCTCACAACTCTCTCTCACGGGAGTGAGTTGCACTGAGCCATTTGTAGTGCTTTATAATTTAACTGTTTATTTCTTGTATTATATATTTATCTGTATATGATTTAACAGCTCATATCTTGTTAGATATCTAATTATCTTTATAAATAAATATATTAAATTATCAGCAATTTGGTTTTCTCTCTCTAGAGAACCCTGTCTAACACATGGGAAGAGATTGAGATGAAGGAAATGGCTCCCCCACCAGTGGCCAGCCAATGAGGAGAGAGGAAACTACACCCTCCCGGGGAGACAGGCTTGTAAGAACCGTTGCATTTGGCCATAAGGAGGATCAAGGCTCTGGGTCTACCTACGCAAGGGGCTTGTAACTTCCTTCTAAGACACACTTCTGGCCTCCTCATTTATTTCTTGGTGGTGGTAGAAATGCTTGTTTGCGCGTTTTACAAATCTTCGCTTTATTTTTTGACTATGTAATAATATATTGACAAGGATTGAGATTCTGCTAAATATACAAAGATAGACAATGGTGTTCATGGAAGATTTCTAACTACAGCTACTCAATTCCTACTCTGTGCCTCCACAGAAAGCACTGTTATTCATTTGCTAGTTGCCTTCCAGAGTCTCTCTGTCGTTGGTGGGGGTTGTTGAGTTGACTCCAGCTCATGGCAGCTGTAAAATGACAGAGGAAAAGTGCTGAGCTGCTGGTGGGTTTGAACCAACAACCTTTCAGGTAGTAGTTAGTTAGGTGCTCACTCACTGTGTCACCAGAGCTCCTTAGAGTTGCTTTAGGCATTATACCACATGAACATAAAAAGTAGGAACACTGTTCACATTTACTGTTATGCTTAGTTTTCTTCTTCTTCTTCAAATTTTAACAGTATTTTTGAGATATCCCTTATTAGGTCATAGAACAACCCCAACCAAACTGCCCGCCAGCAGGTCCATGCTGACTCATGGTGACCCTCTAAGGCAGGGTGGAACCACCCTGTGGGTTTCTGAGACTGTGCATCTTTAAGGGAGTAGAAAGCCTCGTCTTTCTTCCACAGAGTGGCTGGTGCTTTCGCACTGTGGACCTTGCAGATCACAGCCCAACACGTAGCCACTCCACTCCCAGGGCTCCAGTTTACAGAATACTCATCGTCTTAACTGTATAATATTCCATCATATTGATAGGTCATAATTTATTTGACTGACCACCTGCTGATAGATATTTGGATTTTCTGTGAAATTCATCAGTTCAAAACCACCAACTGCCCATGGGTGAAAGATGAGGCTTTCTACTCCCATGAAGATTTACAGTCGGGAACGTGCAGGGGCAGTTCTCTTCTGTGGTGGAGTCGCTATGAGTCAAAACGGACTCGATGGCAGTGAGGTAGCGTGTATTGCTTTTGATAACAATACTCCCCAGTCACAATTTCAAAGGGAATTAGAGTAATCATTCAGCAAGGGATACAATATTTTCATAACATATTCATATACAAAAGGAACCTTGGTAGCACTGTGGGTAGGTACTACTAACCACAAGGTTGGAGCTTTAAAGCCATCAGCTGACTTTCAGAAGAATGATGAGGCCAACTGCTCCCATAGAGACTTTACAGCCTCGGAACCCTTAGAGCAGTTCTACTCCATCGTGTAGGGTTGTATGAGCCACAACCCCCTCCAGGGCAGTGGGCTTGTCTTTTTATTAATATACTCAGCTACAGCTGGGAAATCTTGACATATCAGAATCACAGTAGCCTCAACTAAAGGAGTCCACTTCTAAAAGATTTCCATTAGAATACCTTTTTAAAAACAGGTATCAGCACAATTACCTTAGCAAAGTATTTCAAACATTTTAGGTAGAGTACCTGAGGACCACTGTATTAAGGGTTAAGGGATTGGACACTCACAGGAAATTTCTTAACTAAATCTCAGAACCAATGTAAAAGAGCCTTGTCCATATTTTGATGACAAGTAATGGCTTTTCTGGGAGACCTGTAACATTTAAAATAGTACTTTCCCCTGCAGGTTAAGTTTATTTCTAACTTTTCTTATTTCACATATGGAAATTAAAGCATGACTCTCAACCCAGAAGAAATGTAAAATTGTCATCGTCCACTTACCTGTCTATGAACGTCCGTGGGAGAAAAGTCTCCAAACCCTTCCCAGAGGCCTCCGTTTTCCTCCTCTTCATAAAACCGGATCTGGATGTCATCTGTCAACAGGTGAATTCCAGCATGTCATGTTATGGAGCGCAGTATTGTAAACATGCTAAAGCATAGAACTGATTTAAGATTCTACCAACTATTTACTGAAGGTTTTTAGAAATAAGAAAAATAAAATAGTCCGTCGAATCACTGACTCGCTTAATATATCACAAAATTTTAACATTAGTTACTACAGAAATAGGCCCCACATTTCATTTACAAAGGACAATACTAGATTTATCTATTCAACCTGAGTTTTCGCTTAATCAGTCTTTCTCGCACTTCGTCATCCCTGAATAATTCACTTCTCAGAAAGGTGAAGGATGGAGAGGAATACAGGAGTCTCAAAGGGCAGCACAACTCAAGGTAGAGTCACAAACTAGTCAACTCATGTACTGTTTACTGGGGCACTGTCCTAAGTACGCGCGCGCACACACACACACACACACATTGTCCTAAGTAAACAGACACACACACACACACACTCACCGGGGCATTGTTCTATCTAAGTAAACAGACAGACAGACACACACACACACACACACACACACACTGGGACATTGTCCTAAGTAAACAGACACACATACACTCACTGGGGGCACTCTCCTAAGTAAACAGACAGACAGACACACAGTAATTGACTTACTCCTCACACAGCTCTATGAGGTATATGTACTATTATTATCACTTTATAGCAGAGATACTGAGGTTCAGATACATTACGTTGTTTTATCCAAAGTGGAACAGCTAGTAAATGGAAGAGATGGGATTTGAACCCAGTGTATGTAGTTCCAAGGTCTAGGCTCTAAGCACATTGACACAGAAACTCACTGCCATAGAGTCGACCCCAACTCACAGTGACCTTACAGGAAAGGGCAGAACTGTCGCTGTGAATTTCCAAGACTCCAAATCTTTACGGAAATAGATTTTCCCTTTCTGCTGCGAATTGGCTGGTGCTTTCGAACTGCCGCCGACCTGGCAGTTAGCAGCCCCAAACATAACCCACTATGCCATATGGACTCCTAGATACACTATTAGTTCATATTAATTATTAAAAACATTACGATGGTCAGACAGAATGCCATTGTTTCCTGCTTTCACAACAGAACTCCTCTCAGCACTGGCATCATTTCCCATTTTATAGGAAGGACCCCACCATCAATTTATGAAAATTAAAGTGCAATTTAAATAGAATTTTAGAAATATCAATTTGGATTAAACATCCCATGATCTCAAGGTATAGCCCTTTAACCTTGTTATTCAGCATTCTTTAGACCAAGTGCAAGACTTCTCTTACTAAGCTATCTCAATGTAAGGATGATGATTAAGAATCACATTTGCAAAAACTGCTCAGATTATGTTTACTCATAGCATCACACTTAATCTGGAAATTAATATTACTTAGACGAACTAGGTTAAGGGGCTAAGAATAGGGTATGTGGCTACAGTGAAAATCATTTTGGAAAAAGACTACATGTGCTTTACTTTAAAATATGATCCCATGTTTTCCTGGCTATATATTTTGAAGCATTCAGTCTGAAATGAGAATATTTTTCTTTAAAGCTGTTTACCTTTTATTTATAGATTTTACTTCAAATCACACATCTGCTTAAATTTAGATTATCCTATACTTTCCTAATTTACCATGTTATGTTAAAAATGAATGGTTTGAGAATAGTACATAATCTCCGTTTTCTTCTACTAATGTTGTCTATCTTAGTGTGTCTTGATCCCACTGGTTTTCCTCTTCTTAGCTGACATTACAGTGTCACATGGAAGTGTTTGCAGAAATGCTCTCAGTAACCAGCAGAGGACTGCAAAATCAACAGCTTATCATTTGTCCTCTGGATGTGTTTGTATGGGTGCCAGGCATGTGACTCTCCCTCATTTTAGTTTAACCAAACTTAGATACCAAAATTTAAAACAGAAAAATAATGAACCTTCAGTGATCACTATTTTTATTTCTTTACTTCTTTTGAAAACTTTAATTACTGGTTTAACATAAACAATACAGGCAACTTAATTCTGGAAGAGGTGAATTGTATTGTGTACATGTTTTAAAGACGTTTCACAGCATTGTTAGAGTGACTCATAAATACACACTAAGAATTACGCTTCACCTCTTGAGACCTGAGTTATTTACCTTTCTGAACCTTGTCGCAGAGAAGATAAATCTCTTCTCCTCCAGTGACACATCCTGCGGTCCTGTCCATTCGTACAATTTTCAAATTGGATGCATTGGGGGCTTCTGTTCGCAGGAGAAACACGAAGGTCATAGATTATGCTCAGCTCTGTAAACAAAGTCCTTGTCTGGGACTTTGTCTTTGGCACACATTACCAAAAAGGAAATTTAAATAGTTGCTTCTACCTCTTATTTTTTTAACAGGGATCCTAAGCAATCAGATCACTCTTTAAAGATTTGAGAGCACTTATTGGGTAGTGATCACTCATTATCACCAAAATACGATGGGACAGAAAGGAGAGGATACTGTTTCTCCCTCTGACAGAGAAAGACAAAGAATTTTTTTTGACATTTCAGGAGCTAACAAGTCAGTGGAATTCTGAAATTCAAATTAGGTCAGGAACTCAAATTTATTTCACTGATGCTGGCTTTGTTAGGTGCCACTGAACTGGTTCTGACTCATAGCTACGCTGTGTACAACAGCGGGAAAGACTGTCGTTCTCACAGTTGTTCTTATATTTGAGCCCATTGTTGGAACCGCTGTGTCAGTCTGTCTTGTTAAGGGCCTTCCTCTTTTTGGCTGCCCTTCTACTTTATGAAGCATGAAGCCTCTCTCCAGGGACTGGTCTCTCCTGACAACATGTCCAAAGTATGTGAGCTGAACTCTCACCATCCTGGCCTCTAAGGAGCCCTCTGGCTATACTTCTTCCAAGGCAGATTTGCTTGTTCTTTTAGTAGTCCGTGGTACCTTCAATATTCTTCGTCGGCACTACAGTACAAATGCATCGATCCTTCTTCAGTCTTCCCTATCTGATGTCCACTTTCACATGCATGTGAGGCATCTGGAAATGCCCTGGCTCCGGTCAGGCACACCGTCGTCCTCAAGGAAGCATCCTCGATTTTCAATCCTCTACAGAGGCCTTGTGCAGCAGAGTGACCCAATAAAACGCGGTATTTGCTCTCTTGACTGCTGCTTCCGTGAGCACTGGTTGCTATACTACTTACAAGAGTACATGATACTGCCATACTATCACAAGAGTCCTAAAATCTTAGGGGAAAGCACATTTTCTTCTTGAACTATTCATCCATTTTTATTATATAGAAACAAAAATGGAGATACTGCTTTCCCCCAAACTAAATTAGGATTTTATGTGGTTGGAGTAAAAGTTTCAGTGTGGTAAAGTATAAAGCTTCCTTTTTTTTTTTTTTCCACTCCAACAGCTGCATTTTTAAGGTGATAGAGTCTTTAGTATATAGGCTAACTCTTTCACTTCCCTTCCAACTTGTTTAAATTAGGGAAATTAGTTGTACTTCGAGTTTTAATTTACATCAAATTCTATCCACTTTCAATGAGCACTTGCAGGCTTTTCTGAAATATCTGTTTAAAACAGTCAGTATATGCCAAACAGGTAAGCGGCATGGCAAATGCTCTTTGCAAAAGTTTCAGGAACTATAGACAAATAACTTCAGAATCATATACTCTACTACTTATCCAGCTAACTTGAAGCTATTATCTTGATAAATGACAGATATTTGGAATGAAAATGGATAAGAATTAGGGTTGAAATCTGTTTTATAAAAAGTGGAGCCAGAATGCTTCTTAGATGGTGAGACTTTGTCTCACGTACTTTGGACAGGTTACAAGGCGAGATCAGTCTAGAAAAAGACAGCATGCTGGACAAAGCAGAAGGTCATTTAAACGGAGGGAAACCCTCGGAGAGATGAATCGACAGAGGCTGCAACATGGGCTCAAACACCACAATGCTCGTGAGGAGGACTCAGGACCAGGCAATGTTGGTACTGCTGTGCGGTGCCCAGGGTCACGATGAGTCAGAGTAACCTGGAAGGTATCTAACAGCAGCAACAACCACATCAGTTCCTACCTTCAAGGAAAACAAACAAACAAACAAACTGTTTTTCCTTCCTAGAGCAAGCATAATAAATTCTCAGAGCATTGGGTAGGTAAAGAACACGGGGTTTGGTATTGGATGGAAAAGGCTGCAATGTGCACTGGAAGGGGAATTGCATTTATTATGGCCCTAATTGAATATTTTACTTAATCAGCCATCAAGCTTTTAAACTAGAGTCCAGCATTCCCACTTGATGGATGAGAAAGCTGAAGCACAAGGGGATTAGCTCATTTGCCGCAGGACTCGGCTAGTAAGTAAATAGCAGGGCAGGGTTCGAAGCCTGCATTTTTGCCATCACACCAATCAATCCTCTGGCAGGGCAAGCACTCACTGCTGTCGTAGATGGCATCTGACACCACGGGTTCCAGGCGCCTGGTGAAGCTGCCGGTGCTGTCTGGAAGGAAAGCTGTAAACATGAGCCGGACCACGCTGAGGTCCATCTCTTTGGTCTGATGAAGAGCGGCCTGGCGGATCATCTCCTTCTCTCCATCTAGGAAAAGTCCATTCAAGGTAAGTGCAAGGAGGCGTGAACATTTAAATATAGGATGCTAAAGAACATAAACTTCAAAATAAAAATAGATTTTTAGTTTTCATTTGAAATTCTCTATATTCGGAGTAAAATCTTTTTAAAGGGTCTTATTGATGCCATCCGTAAGTATCCAAAGTTGTTTTTTCCCCTGAATCTGGGTGAAAGCTGTTGTTAGTGTATCTAAATACCTCTTCTGAGTATGATAAGATGGCAAAATGACCAGGCTGAAGGACAAACTATAAATGCAGAGATGGGACACAAGTAGCCTGGGGATTGGGGCTGAAGTAAAAAATTAAACAAGGACAAGAAAAGAGAAAATCACATTTTTTTTTTTTTTTTGGGTAAAGAGAGACTAGTTTAAAATAAGCCTAAAGAACCCAAAGAAATAATTTAAAAAATCATTATAATTAGGTGAGCTGGGTAAGGCATAACAGGGAGGTGTTCTTTGAACTAAGCGTTGGCTGATGAATCGAGTTTTGACAGGTTGAAAAAGGGAGGAGGAGTATTTGCGGTAAAGGAAGACACATGCAGAGGTATGATTAGGCACCAGGTGTTCGGAGAGCAGTAGGCGGGGCCGGTGGGCTGCATGCAAAGTCTGGACTGGTGATGAGGTTGGAAAGGTGGGTAGGGCTACAGTGTGAGGGCTTTGAGATGATAGATTTTACTCTACAGGTAGCAGGTTGCCACCAAAAGTATCTGAGAAGGGGGGAGGTGATTACGGATCGGAAGGATGAGAAACCAGAGGTATCAAAATGAACATCTAGTCCACACACGACAAAACAAAAATTACGCTCCTCCAAGGAGCGAGATTGGGAAGAGAGAGCTCACCTGTAAGTTGCCTGTCTCCTCCACCTTCTGCTTGCAAATAGGCAAGATCAGGATGCACTAAAAGTCCAGGGTTATAGCCCCTTATACAAGCTTCCGTCATTCGTGCTTCCAGTGTTTCGAATACTTTTTTCTTTGTCACATGAAGTATACCCAAGTTTGCAAAGCTGGAGGACACAGAAGAGCCGATGACAGTCACCGAAATTTAGGAAATTGATTTGACTTCATTTTATAGTTCAGTGGATCTTAAAAAGATACACAGATCTTCAATTGCCTCTTCCAATTCCCAAGGGATTTGGATGCCTTTCAGAATTCAGAACTTTTGTGATATTAGAAAGGCATACTAGCTGATACTCTCCACAGGTCTAGGGCACACATGGCCATCAAACACACTCAGACTTTATAGTGGAACATTCAAC